TTGCCACCCGTTTAAATGCTTTCAACAATTTTTTGGATAAAAGTCTAACCTTGTCCACGTACCACATGATAAAAAATAAGGCTACACTGAGCATCATGGCTCTACCAAACAAAGAGAGGTATGGGGCAAGACTTCATCTAGCACTTCACTGTAGAGTTCTGTTGAAGAATATCGCATTGGAATTCGCCACACTTGCTTAGCGTCACTTGGACCCCTAACTAGCGCTCTGATGAACCTTCTGATACTCTCTTTATTCCAACTCAAACACGACAATATATTGTGTCATTAAAAGATAAGTTGACTTATTTCAATATACCATAACTTCTTATAAATTGGAACAGTAAGTTAAACATTATTTTAGAGTCAACAAGGATGTGGGCTTGTCGGCACAGATGGCGAAAAGATCATCAACTAACACTCACAAATTGTTAATGGGTTGTATCATTTTCTCCGAAATTTTCATCGAACGAAAAACACTGAATTTTTGACATTCCGTTAAATATCTTTCTGACAATGTAATAATTATCGTCCATTCCTCTAAAATTATTCAAAACAACAATCTTGATTTAACAATATTACCGATAGATTTGGAAAAGACTTACGATCACGTTAAGAGAGTTTATGCGGTCACCACGGTGAAACACATTGGTTTTCGTTTGAAATTTTGTAAGGTCATAGCTGGCTTGTACATGACTTCCAACTTGTTAGTAATAATAAATGATATGATCTCGAAGCTCTTTTCTCTATAAAGATCTCTTAAACAAGGTTGTACCCTAACTCTTCTGATATTTTTTCTTCGATTATAAATCTTCGTCTGTAATGTTATAATTGATCCTCATATCATGGACCTGCAAGTATAACACAAAATGTGCTAAGTCAAATATGAATTTACCTTGTATGCAAGCAGGTTGATTTTTCTTTCCACTAAGGAAGAGAGACAAACTGTTGACCTTTTGGCTAGTGTTTTTGCCAGTACCTTATAGGATACATTACGGAGGGAAATTGGTCCCCAATTCTTTATGTCTGCCTTGTTACCTTGTTTGTAGAGGATCAATAGGAAACATTATCAGAATCTTGTGTCTGTGTGCCTGGATCGTTTTGATATTCTAGCAATATCCCCAGACCACACACATTCCATAAAGCAAGCCTAAAATTATCCATGGCTCGTGCCCGTCCCCGACTTTTGCTGGATACGGTCAGGAACCATCTGGAGAGGTCGTGCCGCCTAATAATTGATCATTCATGACTTGCCCTCTGAGGGTTTTTTCGTTCTTTGACGATGTTTGTTATGGCTATTTCTGCATTAGCATGCTCCTTACATAGATCGAATCCAATTTTTTTTTTATAGGTAGTTTTTCGTTCAGGTCGGCTAGGAACTTCACCGGAATACGTTGGTCTATCATAATATCGTTCAGACCTTCTCCTCTGTTCTGAATAATTAGAGACAAGGGGAGAGGTATGAGACTGTTCTTAGTAAGACCTTGCGGATTATCTGCAAAGATAAAAGCATCAGTAAGCACACAAAATACTTGATTTTCCATTCCTAAATACCGACATAAAAATTATGAGTTGATATCTACGGTACTAGGTGAAGGATAATGATTTATCCAAAACTCCGAGCTATTGCAAGCTCAGCGTTTGGGAGAATAGGCTTCTTAACCACTGACGAAGGAGACTCCATCCTGAGGCGATAGCTAGGAGAGTACCTGAACCGAGTCATTAATGCAACCTAACACAAATGGGAGCAATTTTTTTCCAAGTTTTCAACTTGTTATCTCCTGATAGTTAGAGTTATCAGGTTCCTGACAATCTTTTATCTGATGTGAAGACGTGGGAAGGTGACAATGTATCTATCCAGCCCATGTGACTTCTCTGAGCTGACAACTGATGTCCGGGAATCTTTCGCCACCATTCCTTGCTCATTGCCTATGACTTCCCTTGTTCCTTTCCCCCATTGGTCAGTTTCTCCCCTTTTTGCCACCTCGAGGGGGTATCAGCCTCTGGAATAACACAGAGTATTTGATAAAGGTTCGGCTTGTAAGTCTAGCGTCCCTCCATTATCTCCTTCAAATAGGATGATTTTGTTTCCCCGCACACTCAAGGTCTACGTATTGCCTTGCGTTGTTTCTTGCACTCCTTTGAGGATCCTTAAGGCCACGACTTCATTTGTTACTACTGCGTAAGGTTTGTTCTTCACTTTCACTTTTGTTACAAGGTTATTTCCCATTGGGATGTTGTCCTGGCCCAACGGATCCCACCCTCCCATCATTGAATGTCGTTCAACTCTCCTCCCGCAACGCCTGTTGGGTACCTTGGATAGGATGGAAAGGGTTGTCTCTTGGTACAGATTAAAACCCAAACCTTCGAGCTGATTTACAATTTGCTCTCCGTGGGGTACCTTGGATAGAATGAGAAAGGTTGTCTCTTGGTACAGATTAAAACCCAAACCTTCGAGCTGATTTACAATTTACTCTCCATTTTTTATACCACTTGCCGACTACCTTGATTGAACCGACATGCTTGGAGTGAGGTTACCTTGATATTGTCCTTGTTCTTTACCCCGTTGGCTTGGAGGCCGAAGAATCTGGCCACTTGCACCCATGACCTGATTGTCGTTTACATAAAAATTCATACCGACGACATTGACGACATTCTGCTGGTTGCTCCACATTCGGTCTTGGTTGTTTCTGTCACCAACTCTGTTCTTGGCACAGTCGTCCTCCTCGTGAAAAAATCCCCTGTGGTTTCTGCACCAGAGAGTAGATGAACAGACTAACGTCTTCCCCCGAACATAATGCATATGCGTTGTATTCGAGTTTTCAAAAAAAAAAACATTTTTCAGAAAGTTAGATTTTTTTTTCCAATACGAGGGCACTTTGAATATAACACATATGCATTTTATTCGAATAATATGCATGTGGGTTATATTTGAATTCCACGAAGAGAAAATTGTTGGATTTGAATTTAACTTTTTTTTTCCGAAGGTCAATGCCTGCTCCGTTCTTGTCCTCAGGCTGGTGAACGAGACAGGCCCGTGCAGGCCCGTAATCACATATCACTGCCTTTGCTCTCTCTCTCTCTCTCTCTCTCTCTCTCTCTCTCTCTCTCTCTCTCTCTCTCTCTTCTTCAGGCAAGAAA